CACATATTTGGCACTCAATAAATAGCCTTGAGTAGAAGAAAACAGCAAAGCAGGGCATCCTAGGAAATTTCCCTGGTTTGCTAGCATTTTCACCCCCTTTTGTCCCAACTGTAAGGAAATATATAACAAGAAAGACATTTATAGCATCCCTGTAATTCCAGGACTCTGTGAGGCTGAGGCAGGAGGATCTCAAGTTTGACCCTGGTTAACTTAACAATTTAGCTCAAAAATAAAAGGGAGGGGCTGAGGATATAGCACAGGGTGAGGGCCCTGGGTTCAATCTCCAGTACAACAAAAAAAGAAAAAATAAATGTATTCATCACCAAAACTTTCTTGGGAGAGCACTGTTTTGTTGAGAAGCAATATTTGGCTTAGTAAATATATGGTTAAGAATATGGACTTTGAGGATTGATTTCTTGGTTTTGAATCATGGCTCTGCCACGTAAGGGCTCTGAAACCTTGAGTTGTCAACTTTTCTAGGCCTCAAGATCTTCACATCTAAAATCAGGGGTGGTAATAACAATACCTACCTTGTAGAACCATTGTGCGGATTTTATGAATTAATACACGTGAAGAACTTCCAAATTCCTGGTAGACATACGTAGTCAGTGTTAGCTATTATTATTACTACTGTTATCCATCAAGGGTAGGCACTGAGCTCAAAGAATCAAAATCGATCCCCTCATTCTTCTTGTCAGAGGAGTAAACCCAATCACTGTGGGCTTTCTGCTTTACTAAGGGCTTGCATGATGTTTGGGGAAAGTGCTGAAGCCAAGCTGATTTCCTACATCAGTTAGGGAGAGTAAAACTTTGATACTGGCAGGAGAGGGAGGAAGGATTCATTCTGCATTCCAAAGTGTTGACTGTCTATTTTGTGCTAGACTTAGAGGAAAACAAGACAGCCACAGCCCTTACTGAAGAGGCTGGCAAAATACTTAGAAAGGAGCGGGAACTAGAGAGGCTGGGTCTGGAGGTGGCAGGTCAGACCACACTACCCGGGCTGCAGCTTAGAAGGGAAGATCTTGGGACAGAGAAATGCTAGGGCAGGATTTTAAAGCATCTGCTACGGGATGTATAACTCCTCCCCTCCAGGAAATCTTCCATAAAGTTTTCATTGCTCACTAGAGAGAACCTGAAGAAAGGGAAGAGAGTAGATATCTAGGTTATAGCTGCTGGGGGAAAGATGCTATAGGAAAGAAAGGCCTTCCTTACCCTTGTGTGCTACCAATAAGGAAACAATCTAGTACCTGCAATATTTAATGATTACAAATGACACCCCCATGTGCCACATAATCCAAGGCTCTTTACAATGAACATGAATTAAACAGTACCAATAACAATCATTAACCAAAGAGAAGAGGCATTAGGAAACTTGGAGAGAAAAGGGGCCATGTCTAAAGTCGGGTGTCAGACATCCTAAGCAGCCCCTTTGTGATCAGTTAGTCAAATGGGTGATTCCTCAGAAAGTGTAGCATATTACTTTATTACTTTGCTTTTGTTGATGCTGACTTTCTTTCTTTTTTTGGTACTGGGGGTCAAACTCGGGTCTTTCTGCTTTCGTGGCAGGCAGTGAAACCACTGAGCTAAATCCCTTCGATGCTGACTTTCTTAAACATAAATGTCCTAAGGTTTAGGTGTGGGGAGGAAAGTAGTCCATTGTGTACTTATAGCTCCCACTTCCAGTTTTTCACTTCCAGTTTCCTTTTATTTTATGCGACTTTAAAAAAAAAAAAAACAATTTAAAGAAATACACAGTAAATATATTTCTTTTCAAGATTAGCAGCCTAAGAAGTAGTCAGCCATCAACCTAAATAAGACAAAACTATCAATTTGGCTGAATTTCCAAGAGTAAAATAAAGCTCTACTGAAATTTACCTACACAAACTGAGACTTTGAGGGGAAGAGAGAAATAAACTAATCTTTTTTCTTCTTCTTCTTAGATGTGTTTACTGTATAACCCCCAAGGTTTCTGGATCTTACAATGTGTGTACTGATTTAAAAGATATGTGGTTGTTTATTAATGTTCTTAAAGCACTATGCAAATTCTTATCACCTTGGGTATATTTTGCCCCTAAAGCTATAAAGTGAATATGGAAACATTTCGTATTTAATAAGGCTAAACTATGTTAACTCAAATAGCTTGATTTTTGAATAGGATTTTCCTTTAAATCACTAATGAGAAAATGAAGAGCACTTGGGGAGTCAAGCTTGAAATGTAAATGAGTAGTTTTCTTTTTTATGGCTTAGGATCAGATGTTACTTGATAATCAAATTTAAATTTGATAATGCAGAAAAATGACCTTGCAGTTTGTAGTACCATTTTTTCAATACAGCTTATGCCCCAGATTTTTTGATAGCACTGTGACTTTTAAGTACCCCACCCCCACCCCAGGGATCTTGCTGTTGCAAAGGCTGGCCTCAAACTCACAATCCTCCTGCCTCAGCCTGAAAGAAATAAACCTGGACCCGGCTTCTACATAGCATTTTCAAATGCCAAAGTCAGTGAAAAACCAAACATTGTGAATTAAATGGAGTCAGAAAAAGAGCTTACCTGTCCACATTTTTAAACATAAAATTAACATGGAAGGTATTAGCTAGAGACAAACTTAGACCTCGTGAAATGCATGCAGAGCTATGAGTGAAATTCCTGAAGGGCCAAATAATTCAGGAAACATACTTTTGCCCTCCTGGTAAGATGAGGAATATATTTATTAAAAGCAGAAAAAGACCTTATGAACCTCTTTTCAGCTCTCGGGTCTAATGGCCTCAAAATGGCACTATATCCTATTCCCAAACCGCTGGAGAGAAATGCAAAGTAGAACTGCAATCAGAGACTTGGGAAAATCAAGGTGGACCCCAGGATGGGACTTCTACTCTCCTATCACCAGAAAAAGAGATTTCAAAGGGCAATGAAAAACATGTTTGTTTTAGTCAGGTACTAAAACTACCTCTTTAAATATGACTCATCCTATGATAAGATTTTCAGCCCTGGAATTACTGCCCTCCTTACATTTTTGGACTAAAATAATAAGAAAGACTTCAGTGTGTCACAAATTTCTATCAACAAAGAATATGAATAATTTAATGTTCTTGAGTAAACTATAAAGTTTGTGGCAGCTTTTTCCTAGATTTGGGTTGCTTTACAGGGCAAATCATATCCATAAGAGCTAAATGATTCACCCTAGTACCAGTATATCCCAAATTTAATTCTAAATTTATTTTAAAACAAAAGCCTGTGCCACTGTGCTCTTTTCAGAGGCCCACTCTCACTCTGAAGAATGTACTTCTTTTCCTACTTTTAACTGGCCCACACTTGCTCTGCAGAGCATACTTCTCTCCCTGCCTTTAATAAATTTAAAACTTCACTACTTTAAAAAAAAAAAAAAAAAAGGAAAAGCCAGGCAGGATGGTGCACACCTATAATCCCAGCACTCTGGAAGCTGAGGCAGGAGGACTGCTGTGAGTTCGATGCCAGCCTGAGCTACACAGTGAGTTCAAGGCCAGCCTGAACTAATAGCCAAGACCCTTTCTCAAAAAGCAAAAACAAAGAGGTTGGTGGGCCCAGGACTTAGCTCAGTGGCGCCATGCCTACCTCCCAAGCACAAGGTCCTGAATTCTATCCACGGTACTGGAAAAAAAAAAAAAAAAGAAGTTGGAGATGTGTCTCAGGGTAAAGGTTCTGGGTTCAATACCCAGTGGGGGTGGCGAGGGGAGGCTAAGGGGACCAGGACGGGGATTGGACATATTCTTTACTTTGGAAGGTATAAACAACAGCAGTATGCCATCTTTTAGAAATGCATTCCCATACCAACAAGCCTCAAGAAATCAGAATTTCTGTGAGGCCACACCCTGAGCAACTATCACAATACAAATGATCTGAGAACATTCTGGAAACATCACTATGAATGGCTCCTTCTCCACAGGGGCGAGAAATGAAATAAAGCAGAAGCAGCAGCTTCAGAGAGGAGCAAAATGGAGGCTTTCCAATGCCTTTCTACTGAAGTGGTAACCGAGCAGTGCATCCTCAGGAGTTTTAAATCGGCATCACTCTGTTTTTTCTTCTTCTTCTTCTTTTTTTTTTTTTTTTTTTTACTTTACAAAATACCTTGTCTTTCAAAAGAGAAATTTTTGAAATGGCTAAGACTTCAGAAAACCTAGATGGTGTGCATCCAATGGCCTTCTGTTTTGATGGAATTCGGCGCAATCTCTTGCACCTCATCACTCCAGGCACTGAAACTCTCCAACTTTTGCACCACCAAATAAGGGGAGGGAAAATGTAAGGGTCTTGCTGCAGCTGCTAGGACGCACTGAGTACTGCTTTGATACAAGTGTATCTAATGTCCCCAGCACAAGGGACTTAAGGGGCGCCACACATTCTTCTCCATTTTCCCTGCAGCTCGCAGAGGTGGCGGTTGAGTTTAGAAGACCTTGCCAAGCAGGCCGACACCATGCTGCGCGCTCCCAAGTGTTCTAGGTGCCGGAACCATGGCTTTGTGGTACCGGTCAAGGGCCATGCAGGCAAGTGTCGCTGGAAGCAGTGCCACTGCGAGAAGTGCAACCTCATCATCGAGCGCCAGAAGATCATGGCCAAGCACAAGATGCTCGTGAATCAGGCGGCCGAGGATGGGCAGGAAGCGGTCCTGGACGCGCAGGCACCCCCGCCAGCTGCCAACCCGGGGCCAGGCCTGCGCCCGCCAGCTCTATTGCCCCGGCCGGGGCCTGAGACCTCCCGCTTCCCGGTGAGGCCCCTGCGAGGCCAGAGCCCCGGGCCCAGTGCCTTCTGGCCTTCCCTGGACAACCACGGGCAGGGCCAGGTAGGGCTGCCCAGCCGCAGGCCGCCCCAGCTCGGGTCCGAGGCCGCTGGCAAGCTGTGCCCTGGCCACCCGGAGCCACTGAGGCCCGCCTCCAGCCTGCTGTTCGTGGACTTCGGTAAGCCCCTGGCCCCACTTGGCCTTGCTCCGCCATCGGTTCTTTGCAGGCCTGCAGTCTCACACTCCCGAGATGGCGGCCCAGGCCCGCGCTAGAGGGAGGCGGCTTAGGAAGGGGTAAATGCCTTCCAGTCACCTTGCTTGGAGAAACCTTTGTCTGAACAGGGATTGGACTTGGCTGCCTTTTTACAAAAAAGAAAAAGGAAGGGAGGAAAGGACTGGGTGATACAGGGGGCGTTTAACATTTAGCAGCTGTATTTGCCTTTACACTTTGCAAATGGCTCCCGTTAGGAGGCTTGGGGGGCGGGGGGGGGCGCTCCCTGGGGGAAAAAAAAAAAAACAATACCACTGCGCATGCGCACCTCTTGCCGCCCTTCCGGAAGACCTCCCTTCTTTGAGTCTGACGACCTATGCCAGCGCACACTTCCTGCCATTTTCTTGGGCTAGAAGCTTCTCTGTAGAATTTACCTGTGGAGGAATTCAGTTGTCTCTTACTGCGCATGCGAACCCCCCCCCCGCAGTTTGAGGCTCCTCCTCTTTGCTACATTTTGGCCAGTGCCTGTGCACATTTTTCTGCCCTTTTCCTGGGTGTAGGTGGGCATAAAACAGATTTTGTACTGCATACAAGAGAACTATTGGGTCTTCTGAGATGTTGCTGTTTTCTGAGCTTGTGAACAAATGGCATTATTACCTATGTTGTGCTCTTTCAGTATTAAAGTACAATTTCAAATTACCTGTTGATTTGAGCCTTTTGTAAAAAGCAACTCCTTTTGGGTGCATGTATTTGCTTGGTATTTTACCTGTGGCAACGTGGAAAAGGCACAGGTTTGAGGCAGGAGGGTCGGAGGCTGCTCATCCTTAAACTTGAACAAGTTCCTTTTTCATTGGCAGTCTCCACCATCTTAGGCTAAGGGAATTGGTCTGGATTCTCTCTGAAGACCATTTCTACCTTCTGGGCCTTACAAAGAAAGCCTAGGTTCCAGCAAGGAACTAGCTGTCCAATGAGGCAGGTAGACCTGAAACCACAGTTCTAGGAGAAGGCTACCTTTCCAAGGATGTAGATGTTTTTTTATTCTGTCTTTCAACAACAGAAACTGAGCACTTACAGTGCCTGCCAATGGTATGAAGCAATCAGGATGAGAGAGTCATAGTCCTTGCCTCAAAGAATCACACAAATCATTGTATAGAGCTCTAATAATTAATGAATTAGTTGTGGTCTGAAGGTAGAGCTGGGTGCATATGCTCCTTGACTTAACTCTCATGATCAGCCCCATATAAATTGAAATATCCTGAGTAAAAAATGTACTGACTACACATAACCTACTGAACACCCTAGCTTAGCAACACAGTCCACTGTAGAGTAGCAGTTATTTCCCCTGGCCTGGCCCCAAGCAGCTGTGACTTGTGGCCACTGCCCAGCATCTCAAGGAAGTATCTTACTGCTTATCATGAGCCCTAGAAAAGATCAAAAGTCAAAGTATGGTTTCTACTGAATGCATACAGCTTTTGTACCATCATAAAGTTGAAAAATTATTAAATCATGGTAAATCAGGGGTTGTCTGTACTGAGGAATTAACCAAAGTAAAGTTAGAAAAAAAGCCTTCTATACCTACAAAGGCCTTGAGATGGATGCAGAAGCAGTGGTTGAAAGATTAAAGTCCAGTGAGGTCAAAAGCATAGTATAAGATTTTGTAGTTGGACACAAGTGTTTATTACACTGTTACCCTTGCTCTTTTTCCCAGCTGTGTTTCTAATGCTTCCCTCATTGCTTTCTCCCTTTAGGGCACCCTCTGAGCATTAACTTGGCCTCCATGGTGGGGGCTGAGTACCTGGAGAGAGAGCCTTCCAAGCTGTACCTTGGCTACTCCACCATGTACTCCTACCACCAGTTCCCACTGGGCTACCAGGATGCATCCCCAGCCATGCAGAAGGGCTTCCGGCATGCCCCCTGTGCCAGCTACCAAGGAGGAGTCTTGGTGAGTCCCAGCCCTCATTCCTTGACAGGTTCTTCCTATTCCTCTGGAGCCCAGGTGCTCTGCTGCCCTTGCTGCCTTTGTGGGTCCTTGGTCTGAGAAGCCAGTTATCATCCACTAGTGGTGTGGCTCTGGGAGTGCACGTGTAGACAGGTCTGCATGCCTGAGCCTGGTCCATGGCATGTGCTTTTCAGAGCTGGGGGCAAAAGGCTCTGGGATTCCAGGAGTGACCTTTGCCCTTGACTTTGTGATGCAGATACCAGAAAGGCCTTCTACTAGCACCAGAGAGGAAATAACAGTTTCCTGGAGCTACAAAGTTCATGCAGTCAGGACTAGACAGAAGTCTCCTGCTCATAGGTATAGCTTGAGGCTGCAGAGGTTTTTCAGGAAGAAGTGACATTTACGCCGAGTTAGGAAAAATATGGTAAACATCCCCAAGCACTTGTCACCTTAACCTTAGGAAACACTTGTAGAAAGAATAAATGAAATTTAATCCTTTTATAAGATGACTAACTGGTGCTTTCCTTAAGCCTGGAGTTTTGAACACCGGTGTGTCAAAGGTAAGGTCACCCCTGTTGTGTGGGGTATGAGGCAGGAGTGACCAAGTTTGTGGCCTTGGTTACTAGCTCTCTCCCTGCTAGGATGGTTAAAAGTCCTCTTCCTTTTGGCAGCCTCTAAGGCCATTGGGACTCCAGGGTGGGAGCAGGCTGGGTGACTAGGCCTGACTTAGGCCCTGTGAAGCTGGACCTGCAGACTCAAACACAGAGCAAGTTCATAGAAATGGTGACCACCATTACCTCTACTTCTTCCCTCAGAATGAAAGCATAACCATAGATATCTATTAAGATGTTTTCCCAGGGTAGAGAGAAGTGAGGAGAGAGGGGCTTGTTCACTCTGGTAGGGGGTGAAAAAGAAAGACAAAAGCTTGGTATTTACATATTGGAAGTCACTGACCACAGAGTGGGAACAGGTCCATAGGGTCAGCTGTGCAGTCCAGTCAGACCAGAGGGCTCAGCCCAGCAGCAGCTCTTGTTTAGATTTTGTATGTTTTTAATTTATACACCATTTTCCATTGATTCAAAGAGAAAAAGGCTTTGAAAGCCACTGGTCTTGATAATTTCCAGGGTTCCTATTGACCCTTATGAACTGTCAAGGTAGGTGTTTTTACCCCATGGCAGAGTCAAAAAAATGGTTCAGAGAAGTTAAAATTTTGTCCAAGACCACAAGACTGTGAATGAGGGACTGGGACTCATATCATACAGTTGGTTGGATCACTGTTGTCTGAAATCTGGAGCCCAGGTCCTTTCTGCTGCCCCAAGGATGCCCCTCATGGAGAAATGAAGCAAACCTGGCTCTTGACTCTTGGCCACCATTGGCTGCTCAGCCTGAAATATGTGAGCACTGCCTTTGGCCACCCCATTGCAGCCCAGGGAGAGCAGAGCATCTCCAGCCTCCACACAAAGAGGGGCTGTGGCCAAGCGGAGCCCACACCGTCTGCTCACACAGAAGCCCAGGGCCTGGCGTCGGGCAGGGCGCTGATTGACAGGCCTGCCAGACGGCCTCTGTTCAGAGTGTGATCTTGGGTGGTTTATCTGGTTCGAGCTGCCACCACAGGCCCCAGGCAGGAGCTGTGATCCAGGGAGAGACTTGGCTGAGCAGCTTGGATTAAAGTACTAATAATCCCCCTACCCGCTTCACGTCTGGAGGGAGGATCAGATGTTTATTTGTGAAGCTGTTTCAGACCCAAGAGCCTGTGAATTATTTTCACCCATGTCCTGCTGTCCCCTGCACGCAAGCTTTAGACTCTTCCCAGGAACAACCTCCCCCATCCCTGCCCACCTGCTGCTTCTGTGCTTTTTCTGGTCTCTTCTGTACTAGAGGGCACAGGCCTGAGTTGGACAAACCTAGAGTTCAGTTCCACCTTGTTACCAGATGCTGAGGTGTTCTTGTCCTGTATAAAGAATTGGGCAAGACAACCGAAGAACGTGGAGATTTTACATTTATTAATGGTAAAAGTGAGGAAAAAGGCAGAAGTAGGGTGCAAAGAAGACAGAAGTGTCTAGAAAGCAGACAGTGGCCACAAGGCCGGTGGCAGCTGCCTTTTACACACCCATTCTGACATCAGATCTGGGCTGTCTGCTGCAGGCCGTGATTGACAGGTCTCCGTGACTGGCAGGTCACAACCAGGCGCCCAGCCACTTTGCAGTGCCTCAGTCTCCTACCTCAACCTCTGCTGTGTGCTGCCCACTCATCCTGGGGAAGGCTCCCCACCTCCCAAAACCTCCCTCAGGTTCTTGGTCTGTCAGAGGCAGTCAGAGTTACCTGCCTCATGAAGAGGTTGAGTAGGGTGTGCCTAGCACAGGGTCTGGCACATAGGAGGTGCTTAAAAGTGGACTTTCTTCTCTTCCTTATGGTCAAATGAAATTAGAAAATGCTGGCTTAAGATTTTTGCGCACACCACTGTCTTTCTGGTGAAGCTCCGAGCTGTGCAGATGCCCTTGCTAGGCCTGGGTGCTGTGGGGTGGTGGGCTTAGCTGCCACTTAGGGCAGCAGTGGCACAGCAGGACTGCCTGAGTCACCCCGCTTGCCTAACCCCAGAACAGCTGGGCCGCACCTGGCTTGTTGTACTCTTCCCACCTTAAAACTTGGGTTAAAATTATTACATGGGCCAGACAAGGAGGCTCTGCAGGGTTAGCATGAGCCGTGGTTAGCTGAGTGGGCTGTGAGGTCACAGGCCCGGGGCCCGCTTCTGCCTTTACCCCTGAGCAGGTCTGTGGCAGTGGCCCTGTAGGTCTCTCACCCACCTGTATTCCATCAGTCCAGCCAGGATAGTAGGAGAACCCACCCCCTGTGTCGCCAGGATGCAAGTGTGGTACCCTGGTGGGTCCCAGGCTTATCCAAATGTGCCTGCAGGAGTTTGGCTGTTTGCTGAGCACCCTGCTCCAAGAGCTCTGCACTGAATGTGTGGGCCACAGAGATGTTAAACACCCAGTGGGGAGTGCCGGGCTGGAGAGTGAGGCGCGTGTTCCATCAGCCTGCCTGGCTAACCTCCGCCCTCTCTGCCTCTGCTGTTTGGGCCTGCAGGCACCGGAACCCGTGGGAGACCTCCACCCAAACTACTACACACCGCCGCCCCCGCTGCCGCCACAGCAGCAGCCCCTGATCCTCCCACCAGGCTTCCTCTCTGGGCTGCACCTTCTTCCACCGCCACCACCACCTCCACCATCCCCAACTTTCTCACTGAACATCCAGTCTGAGGGCACGGGTAAGACAGCACAGGGAGCCAGCATGGCCTTCCGGAGGGGGAGCCATCTGAAATGGGCATGGGGAGAAGGGACCAGGGACACGGGCTTAGCCTGCACTGGGCCCTGGGCTAAGCTCTTCCCCACGCCCTCCCCCAGCCCCCATAAGCATGCATCCAAGGGAAACTGAGGCCCCCCAAGAGGTCCCTCTGGATGTGAACGGCAGGGTAGGATTTGAGCGGGACTGCGTGGCTCCAAGTCCAGTGCTCGTTCCCCACCATATCGGCACCGTGGGCAGGGTACAGAGGACACCCACCTGCATGCTGTTGTGCAAGCCAGAGACAGGGCTTCTTGGCTGGGCAGGACCTCTGTGCAGGGACAGCAGAAGCTGAAGCTGGAGCCGCAGCAGGAGGCGCTCTGGAGAGACGCCAACAAGACCCTGAGAGCCTGCCTGAGCTGCTCTGCCACTGCTGCGCCAGGAGACCTGAACTCCCAGCCTCGGTCTTCTCACTTGTAGCATGGCCCCCTCACAGGGTTATGGGCAGGGGGGCTCCACTGAGCTTCCGGATGTGAGAATACCTCAGAGTTTGAGAGCCCTGTGGCTTTAAAAGCTTGCAGGACTTTCTTCTCAGTCTCACAGTGTCAGCCTCAGGATCTGCAGAAGTCAGCTTGACTTATGAGGGTCCCTCCTCCTGAGGTTATTCTGAAGACGGAATAGAACCTGAAGGCACGAAGGCATTAGTGGCAGTTAGCTGTCATTTATTGTTTCACCTGCCAAGTGCTGCCAGGGTAGGAAGATCTCACAGAAGGGCAGGCTGAGGTGCAGCTGTGGGGAGCCTTGCTTACTGCCACCAGCTTGGGAGGAGTGGAGCTGAGCTGGCAGTTGAATCTGTAGCACATTTACCAATCTCCTTGCTCAGCAAATTAAAGGAAAATTCACTCTCCACAAAGCTGGGAAGAGTGAGAAAACCTTGTAGAAAATCTGCATCTGAAAATAGGTAACTCATTCTCTTTCTAAATCCAGCTGCCTTCTCTGTCCTTTACAGACAACCAGGCTTCGGAGGTGCCTAGTGAGCCCCACCCACCCTCAGCTCAGGAGCAGTCTGACTAAGCCCACCGCCTTCCAGGCCAGTTGTGGATGTCGGGGATGGCAGCAGGGATTTTCTCGTCTGTGTTTAGTGTTGTGCAAGGAGGAAGGATATTGAGAGGTGTAAGGTGGGAGCTAACTCCCATTTTGAGCCAGAAGGAAGGAGGGTGGTTTCTGAGGTCTCTGACCCCGAATCGTGGGGCTGTAGAGACAGAGGGGGAGGACATGGCAAGAGGAAGCCAGGGCTCTGAGGAGTGGGGCTGGTGGAGCTCACATTGGAAATGAATTTAACCGTCCTGAGTGCTGTTCAGCAGAGACACTCAGGGGCAGCCTTTGACCTCTTCAGGTGCCACTCAGGACAGAAGGTACCATTTATTTCAGCCTTCTGAGGCACCACTGCTATCAGGTGCAGCAGCCAGGCCTGGGGTGTTGACAGCAGGTTCTGCAGCGTCCTTGCCTTTGCCTGGCTGTGCCCCTCACCCCTTTGCTGGAAGACGACCTGACCAATGAAGCCACTTTACTGCTCTCCACCAAGTTTAAGCTACGATAGGCCTCATTTTTGGTTTAAAAATCTGTTCAGGTTTCATTATTTGATGTTTTTATATCTGGGAGCACTGATGCCGTTTTCTGAGAATTAAATGAGCCGTGACATCAGGGGTTTCTTCTCTGGGGACACTTGACTGTTGAAATAAAATAGCAGAAATCCTGGCAGAAGGTGTGCTCTCTTTAATCCGCATGGGAGGCTATGTCAGGCAAGAGTGTAGGTCAGGCTGGGAGAGCCTGGTACAGGGCTCGTCACATGGGCAAGTCCTTCCCATTCCCCATTCCCCTTTGACTTAGTTATCAAGTCAAGGTCAGGCCAGGCTAGATTTCTCTATTATGGTTTTAAGAAGTGGAGACTCTTTGAGGAAATCTGATACAGACAGACAAAATGTAAAGGTTTCTTTTAGTTTCCCTTCTCTAGCCACTTTTATGGTCCCTACAGAGGAACATGGTTCACAAAACCAGAACTTGGGTCCTGTTCTGCTGTTTTAGGGTCCTGGGCCTTGTCCCTCAGTTTCACTTCTTTATTTAAAAAAACATTGTGTGTCTTGACTACATCCAGAACCTGGTCCTCCCCAGCTCTGCCAGTGAGGAGCACAGCATCCAGTGAGGGAGACAGTGCCTGAACAGAGAGGGCAGAGGGGTGAGGGGGGCCAGAGAAAGCCTTGTGGTGGAGCTGCAGTCTCACCACTTCTCAGAGGGCAGGTGAGTCAGGTGAAGCAGAGGCATGGGTACTTCCAGTGGGTGTGGCAGGAAGAGCTGCAGTGGAGGGTCCAGGTGGGGGGCTGGAGCTGGCCTCAGGAGTGAAAGCTGACCCGCTTGCTGTGGCATCTGTGGCCTGGGTGTCTGCCATCCCCCTGGTCCTGCGACAGCTGCAGGACCACTGAGAAGGGATGGAGGGCCCCAGGCCTGGCTCTGTCTATTGCATAAGGACTCTGTTCCTCACATGCTGGCTCTGGGAAGGGGCCAGGGGCCTGGCTTAGCCTGTCCTGCTGGTACAGTAGGCCTGGCTTAGTGACCCCTTTTCATTACACTTTGGTTTTAGAAAGTCTTTTGAACCAGACTGCACCAGTCAATAAAGCCGTTTTCCCAATGTGGTCAGCACTCACAGGCCTGCCGATGACCACAGGGAAGCACCAGGACAGCACAGTGTGTGCAAGGGAGGGGTGCGTCCCGCTTCTGCATCCTGGCCTCAGTCCTGCAGGTCTGCAGTCCGACCTGGCCCGGTCCCTTCCTGCACCAGGGGCTCTCGCCTGGTTCCTTGCCCCGCTGAGTTTGGGACCCGTAAGCCTGGAGCCTCCCGAGGCCCCGCTCTCCAGCAGCAGCAGCAGCTGCAGTCACAGCACGGGGGCGGGAGAACCAGTGCTGCCCGCATCGCTGCCTGCTGCTCTGAGAACGAGGACCGCATCTTCAACAGGACGCGCCTGCCCGCTGCCCGGCGTCTGCCTCCCCCGCCGGCCCGGCTGGGTCCTGGAGGGGGTAGAAGAGGGCAGGTGCAGCCAGAAAGGCTCCTTGGCAGTGCTGCACATCCTAAAGGGTTGACGTTGAACTCCGGACCAGGGAACATTCTGGAAGGCGGGGGCGGGGGGGGGCTCTCCTGCCGCTGGAAGTGTTGGCCTTGACGGGGCGCTGCCTGCAGAGGGCGCATGGCTGCAGCTGGGGCGGGGCATGTTTGCCTGGCAACCGTGCTACTAGGAGGCTCTACTGTGGGGTCCTTCAGCCCCTTAATCCTGGCGGAGATGTGCAGATGGGGGCTTCCCCGGAAATCGCCATTATGAGCCTCACTCTGCTCTGTGAGGCTACGCTTTCATCAGTCATCTTCGCAGGGCCCTTGCTGTGACAGCGACCCCCTCCCTTTTCTTCAGACAACAACCCCAGCCCGCCCTGTGTCCCACCACTGTTCCCGCCTCCTTTTCTGTCTGCCCAAAGTGCGTGGGGAGTCCGCTGCCTAGACTCCGAATTGCGCCTCACCATCCCCTGGCGTCTTCGCAAATTTAGGAAACCTGAATCCCTCACCTGGACCAGGAGGCTCCGCAGGCCCTGCCCAGCCCTCTGCCGTCCTCTCTTACCTCCTAGCTGTCCCTCTCACAAGGCTGTGAGCTTCCCGACAGGAAGGACCCATTCTCATTCTTCCCTGTGTCCCCAGCTCCCGGGGTGGGGCTTGTTGTTGGTCAGGCTAGTAGCTATGGGGTGCCTGTCGGGAATGAACCGGTGAACTTCAGGGCGTCTCTCAGTCTCTGGGTGCAGGGCTGAGTTGCCCTGCCTTCAGCCACTCTGCAGCATCCTTTGCCTTACATCTTTGCTCCATCTGCTGGGACCTCACTCAAGGGTCGGTCAGCCCTCAGTGAAACTAAAGTGTGCCAAGCACTCTGCCCCTTCCCTCCTGTCCCGCCCCACCCCTACCCCAGGTAAAAGTTTTTGGTGGTTTGTTTTTTTGCTTTTTGAAAGGGAAGCATGGTGAAGGATGGCGATTTTCTCAGAGTCACACAGTTTGTAAGTGGCAGAGCCTCAGGCGGGACAGAAGTGTGGTTGAGGGTAGATTCCAATTATAGTTTTTCATGCTCATTTTGTCCTAAGTTGTCATCCTGAGATGTTTTTGAGTGCAAAATGCACGATTGCACCCTGGTTTCTGGGCGCATTCTAGCACAGCACAGGGAGAACAGCATGCACCACGTCCACCCCACTGACCATAGCACACAACACCTTTTGAGAGAGCCCTACAGCTGGCATGTGAGAAGTCTGTGGGAAGAGCCCTCAGGGTCCCACCTGGGGTTCTCCATGAGCTACATTGCTTGAGCTGAGATTGGCAGAATATTTGCATTTGTGCCAAGGATGGATCAAGGGGAGGAAGTGTCTTCCAAGGCCACACCTCTGGGTTGTGGTCCCCTAAACTGCACTGGAGAAGCCTTCCCGCCACAACATTCCCAGATCTGACTGGAGGTTACAAAATATGTCCCAGGCCTGGGGCAGGGGATGAGTTTCTCTCCTTCGGCTCTGTGGACTTTCACAGCTTTAGCTCCTGGGCACTGTGGTCTTGGTGGCCAGGGCCTAGGCCTGTGTTATGGGGAGCTCCTCAGAGGCCCTAAAATGCACCCTGGGCTCCTCTCCTTGGCCCAGAGACAGGAGACCCCTACTCCTCCTTCCTGCCTCTTCCTAGCTGTGTACTCTGGGGCACATCATGTTACCTCTCTGCGCCCTGTGTTGTCCTCTAGTAACACTGGGCAGGGATGTGCCCAGGTTGCAGCTTTTGTGTGAAATACTTCCTCCCATGCCACCTCACAGTGCTAGTGTGTGGGACCTGTGTCACTGGGTGGATGAAGGCAGCCTCCTCTTTGAGACCATGTCAGGACACTAAGAGTCAAAGGCCCCCAGCTGTAGTAGCTCTTTACTTCTCGGTGCTCCCAAAATGCCAGGGACTGTTGAGTGTATTCCGCAAGTTCTGTGGCTTGTCAGTGACCCCTCAGTGGAGGCACCCAAATACCTTACAGAGGATAAAACTGAGGCCTGCAGAGCTGAGTGCTTGCCCTCCATTGGGCTGGCTCAGTGGCAGAGTTGGGCGAAATTCTAGTTCCCCTGAGTCCAGGGCCAGATTCGTTTTTTTTTTTTTTTGGGTACCAGGAATCGAACTCCAGTCCTTGTGCTTGTGCAGCAGGTAGCGAAACCACTGAGCTAAATCCCTGGTCCTAGGGCCAGATTCTTAACCACACTGTGCTCTCTTGCTTCTCAAAGAGGGGGAACTTGTGAGTCTTGAGTCATGGTACAGTTACCACCCCGCACTCCCAGTCCCACCAGGACTTAATGACCAGCTACAATCCAACCAGCACAGCTGGGTTTCCATGGGTGTAGATAGGCTAAATACAAACAAAAAGTAGCCTTACATAAGGAACAAAATCATCTGTAAAAAATTGTTTGGAACTTTCATTTCATCTTCCAAATGATGACGAAAGAACCATGATGGTAATTCTTTAAAATAGTAAGTATTAATAGTGTATTAAAATTTAAGCATAAACTCTTATTTTTTAAATTTCCTTTTCCTTACTTTTAAAAAATTTTATTGCTACATTTTAGATATACATAATGATAACATTCATCATAGGGAATTTGCATCTGTACATGATATATCTTCTTCTTTTTTTCCATTCACCTCCCCTCTCTTCAAACCCTCTTTCCCCCTTATTTACAAATGCTTTGTTTCCATTTTTTCCTTCTATTCTCTTGTTTTTCTTGTCCCTTCCTTCCTTTCTCCCTCCCTCCTCCCTTGTTCCCCTTCCCATTTGAACATTACCTTCCCATTTCCCAATATCTATTATACATTTTGGTCCTTATTTACACTTCTAGCTTCTCACACCAGAGAAAATATGCAGTATTTTAATATATGTGTCTGATTTATTTCATTTAAGAAGTATGGTCTCAAGGTGCATCCATTTAGCTAGAAATGTCTCAAGCTTATCCTTATGGCATAGTACTCCATTCTATAAAAAACCACATCTTCTTTATCCATTTACTAGTTGATGGGCATTTGGGCTGTTTCCAAGATTTAGCTATTACAAACTATGCTGCTATAAAAATGAGTGTGCATATATTGCTGTGGTAGGATGCTTTTAATTCTTTCAGGAAGATACCAAGAAAGGAAATCACTGGGTCAAATGGAACCTCTAGTTTTAGCTTTTTGAGGAATCTTCACACTGATTTTCACAATGGTTGCACCAGTCTACACTCCCACCAACAGTGGAGAAGCGTTCCTTTTTCCCCACAGACCCACCAGAATTTTCTATTGGTTGATTTCTTGATAATAGCCATTTTTTCTGGAGTGAGATGGAATCTCAGCGTTGTTTTAATTGGCATCTCTCGAAAGACCAGTGATGCTGAACATTTTTTTCATATATTTATTTGCTGTTTCTACTTCCTCTGAGAAGTGTCTATTCATTTCAGATGGCCATTTTTGGTCTGGATATCTTTTTTAGTTCTTTATATATTCTAAATATTAGTCCTTTGTCTGAGGAACAGCTGGCAAAAAATTTTTGCCCGCACTGTGGATTGTCTCTTCACTCTGTTGGTGGTTTCTCTTGCTGTACAGAAGCGGTTTTTTTGTTTTGTTTTGTTTTTGTTTTGTACCAGGGATCAAACTCAGGACCTTGTGCTTGCAAGGCAGTCGAAGTGCCACTGAGCTAAATCCCCAGCCCCAGAAGCATTTTAATAAGATAAAATTTCAGTTGTTGATTCTTTGTGATATTTCCTATGCAATTGGAATTTTTTCATGAAGTTTTGCCTACACCTGTCTTCAAGAGTTCTACCTATTCTCTCTTCCAGCAGATTTAGTGTTTCTGTCTTAATATTCAGATCTTTGATCCATTTTGATTTTAATTTAGTGCATGGTGAAAGATACAGGTTGAGTTTTAATCTCTGGCATGTGGAAAGCCAGTTTTTCCAGCACTTTAAAGAGGCCATCTTTCTTTCAGTGACTTCTTTTGACTTTTTTGTCAAAGATAAGGTGGCTGAGTGTGTTTGGAGTTGTTTCTGCATCTTCTAATCTGTTCCATTGATCCTCAGGTCTTTTTTGTTGTAGTTGTTGTTTGTTTATTTTCACCAGTACCATGCTATTTTTTTTTTAAATCACAGTAGCTTTGTAGTATAATTTTAAGTCAGGGATTGTGATGCCTCCTGCCTTGCCTTTGCTGCCCAGAATTGCTTTTGCTATTGTAGGTCTCTTCTAGTTCCAAATGAATTTTAGGATTGTTTTCTCTAATTCTTTGAGGTTTGCTATTGGTATTTTGATTAGGATTGCATTAAATCTGTATAACAATTTTTAAAGTATGGCCATTTTCACTATATTGGTTCTTCCTACCCAAGAACAAGGGATATCTTTCCCTTTTCTAATATCCTCTTCTATCTCCTTTCTCAGAGTAATATAGTTTTCAATGTAAAGGTCTTTTACTTCCTTTGTTAGATTGATTCCTAGGTATTTCAATTTTTGGATGCTATTATGAAAGATGTGGTTTTCCTAGTTTCTCCCTCAGTGAGTTTGTTAATTGGATGGAGTGCTATCGATTTTTTGTTTGTTTGCTTTTTGTTTTTTGGGTATGGTTTTTTTTTGTTTTTTTTTTTTTTTGTACTGGTGATCGAACTTGGGACCTTGTGCTTGCAAGGCAGGCAGTGGAACCATGCTATTGATTTTTGAGTGTTGACTTTGTATCCAGCTGCACTACTGAATTTGATTATTAAATCTAGAAGTCTTTTGGTGGAATTTTTGGGGTCTTCTATGTAGGGTACCATGTCACCCACAAATAATAATACTTTAACTTTTTCTTTTCCTGTCATTCCTTTCCTTTCTCTTGTCTAATTGCTCTGG